GACTCGGCGGCGGATAATCCGAAGCCCCCGCCCTTCGAGGAGGGCGAAGCAACCAGACAGAGAGAGGCGGGCAGGTTCTTGGCAGGGGAGCGGCGCAAGGAAGACGGAGAGGTTTGCGCCGGCACTGCCGCGTAGAAGCTCCCCGTGTGAGGTTGCGCGTGAGCGCCCTCGTCTCGAATGTGGCGCGCCGCGCTGGCGGCCCGCGTAAGCCGCCGCGTGAGGCCGCTATGCCATCTCGCGTGAGGTCCGTTTTCGGTTAGGTGTCGGTCTCGCGGGTCGCTTTCGGGCCCCAGGGCCGCCAGACACGGATCCGAAGCGGAGAGCTGCGCCAAGATGGGCCCCTGGGCGGGGTCCCAGCTGGAGTCCAGCCCAGTGGCCGAGACGCCGCACGCCTGGAGAGTGGGCGGCCAAGTCCCTTCCGCGCAGAGGGCGTTGACGGCCAGCTCCCGCCACCGAAGTGGAGGTGACGGCGCCAGCGCCGCACAGCGTGTGCGCACGGCCACGACGTCCAGCCCCACCTCCAGGCTCACCGAAGTGGAGAGCGGCACCGAGCTGGACCACCGAGCCAGGGGGCCACATGTGAACCCTACCCCTACCCCCCACGATTTCCGAGGGGGAGGGTGGGGTTCACTTCGTTCGGGAGCTCCCGAGCGAAGTGAACCCCACACTTCCCTCAGAAATCGTGGGGGGGAGGGGTCGGGTTCACGTGTGGCCCCCTACGAGCTGGACCCCCCGGGAGGGGTCCCGGGACCGACTTTGGCGCGGATGCTCGGCCTCGCTGCCCGCCCCTCGCCGACCCACGGTTCGGGGAACTCGTTGGGCGGCGGGGGTGGGGCTCGGAGTGCGTCGAGCGCGTGGCGAAACCCGTGCCCTGCCCCCGCCGCCCATCGATTCAGGAGATCACCACCCACCAAACCACCCCGACCCAACCCGGAGGCCTCCATTTGCCCTCCACTTCCAGTGTGGGGGGGGGGGGATCGGAGAACATCGACAAAAACACAAATGGATAGGGGGCCACATGCGAACCCTACCCCTACCCCCCACGAGCGAAATGAACCCCACCCTCCCCCTCAGAAATCGTGGGGGGTAGGGGTAGGGTTCGCATGTGGCCCCCTAATGGAGCCCATACCCCTCCCTCCAACCCGAACTTCGGGCCTGCGGGTTGGGTTGGGGTGGTCTGGCAGGTGGTCGGGCGAATCGATGCTAGGTGGGGGGGTAGGGTTCAGGCTCCTCCTCCTCCTCCTCCTCCTCCTCTCCTCTCCTCCTCCTCCTCCTCCTCCTCTCCTCTCCGCTCGCTCCTCCTCGCTCCTCCTCCTCCTCCTCCTCCTCTCCTCCTCCTCCTCCGCCTCCTCCTCCTCCTCCTCCTCCTTGTTCTCATCCTTCACCTTGGCACTCGTCCGCAGTGAACCATTTCATCAGACCAGTATGTAATAGTAGAAGCCCATACACTGAGGTACTGGCTGAGGGAAACTCGAAGTCTTCCCTGCTTCATTATAACTGAGAAAGTCTTGTTGCCTTCAGTGCCCACTCGGCGACGGAAGGTTCAACATTAGCATATGAGTGAGGAAATACCAGTATGTGCACTGATGTCCCGCTCCATGTACGACATATCATATGAGAACACTGTCTTGAAGTAGCTCATGTGTGCATGATTCCAAGAGAAAAAACCTGCCATTGGCTGCCTCCTCGCCTGGTTATCCATATGAAAATACCCACTCATGCAATGCACGGGGTTCGTATACAGTGGACACGCGCAAATATTTGTGCCCACCATGTCACAATAATCAATAATCACAGCGCCGACCGAGGGGGAGCACGCTCCGTCGCGATTAAGGCATCGTGGCCACCAGTAATGGCCCTACGGGTCCTCCCCCTCGGCGATAGATAAAACATTACATCCAGCATACCAGATGCGTCCAGCAAAACCAGACTCACCGCCACCCCTACGCGCTGTTGTCCTGCGAGCGACCTAAGTCCAACAGGCAGGTGCACCAGAGGGGTGGACGATGGCTGTGCGACTAAACCAGGTAGTTAGCCTGGATTTTGCGTCCTAACGCCCTCCACAAAGAGCGGCAGTAAATTGCTGAAACCTTCTTGTCGGTGCTGTGGAGCCACAGAGAGTACAAACCAATTCCTTGTCCTTTTGGTCAGCTCGATAGTGTGTGAGAACGTGACAACGATTACCAGGAATCTTGGTCCTCTTGTTATGCTCGTCTACCATGATTACGTAGTCAGCAGCGGTGCGCTTTTTGCCAAGACGTGGGCCACGTGGAGCTCCAGGCTGACAAAGAAGTCGCGACCATGAGCCAAGCTGGCTCACTTTTGACTCGAGCTTGCAATTGACGCACACCAATTTGGCAGGTTGATCCTTGTTCGGCCCCTTGAGAGGGGCAAGTACATGATATCCCTGTTGGCGTGCTTCACGATTATGCAGAAGTCTCTTCTGCTCGTTCTGAAGATCTCGGCCTGTGAGGCCCTCCCAATCTTTCTTCTCCTCGTCCGTCCAAGTGATGGTAGCCCGCATGACCTTGACAGAAGTGACATGATGAGCCCGTCGCACCACAGAGACATGTTCAGCTGCAGCAGCGGCCCTTGCAACAATGTCGCTTGGCCTCACCGTTGTTGAAAGGTTCTCGGCTAGCTTCGGTGGTTGCCATATGGGCTTGGGTACTGAACCCCAAGCTGGCTGCACTCGAATGCCTTTTGTCTTCTCCGTCGTCGCCAAAGCCACAGCATACAGTACTCGCATCGTGTGTTGGTGGTTCACAAACACTGGCCTGCACTTGAAGCCAGGCACTGCACGTATACCCAGTGGTGATAAAGCGCGAATCTCTTTAAAACATTCACGTGGTCCCAATTTGCACTTGCACAAGTAGCCCATCCGAGTAGCAGCTGTCGAGAAGTATCTCGCCATGCGCTCAAGAGTAGCAGTCTGTGGGTCTTCCGCTGGCGTGGTCAACGGTAATCCAGTACAGATAGTGAAGTCAATCGCCAACTCCGCCCAGGAAACGGACATGGGTGCCATTGGTGTGTCATCAGCAGCCCATCGAAGTTGCGAAAAATACCAGACAATCGCAGGAAACAGAGCCTGTTGGTAGTACCAATCTTTGCCTGTCAGTGTCTCTGGAATCTGTGGTTCGAATTCCCATTCAGGCAAGTTCACCTCGACAGGGTCCCAGGGATAACCAGGGAAGGCCATCTTTGGACTCCAGGTCAAAGGATTGGTAGTCATCTGATCTAAAGCTGGTCGTACCCACGTGGAGCTTGACGACGCTGATGTTGCAGGGACCGCAGCCGGACGAGATGATGAGGCTGGGGTGGTTGTCGGTGGCGTATCTGTAGTACAGGATGTCGCCGTAGGTCGCGGTGTCTTGCTCCGCAGGCGGTGCATTGGTGGTTGTGCAGGTTGGCCTTCTCCTTGGCAACTGCGAGGAGTGTCCGCAGCCGCCATTGTGGCTGCAGCCGTTGGGCTAGCAGAAGAACCATCCTGTGTCAGGGTCGGTGAGACAGTCGCTGGCTGATTTTCCAGTTGGTGTTCTGGTGATGCCTCGGTCCTCAGGACCAGGGGCGATGCAGCTCTCTGTTCACCTGCTTCGTTCATACCGTCATCGTCCATGCCGAGATGAGCCCAAGGATCCTCAGCATCCTCATCTGGCCATTGGGGGTCTGCACCTTCCAGTTCGGCATTTTGTATAGCTTGGGCTTGAGCGCATCGGGCATGATGAGTGTCTCTTCCCATAGCCTGAAGTTGCTTTGCACGTGCAGCCAAGATAATCGTGGCTGTGTGCTGAAGAGTATAACATAGATGCTGATCTCGCAGGTGCTGGTGTCTGATATCCGCTGGCACACTATGTTGGCGTGCAGCTTGAACAGCACTGTCATCTGCCTGTTTGTTAGCCTCCCAGTCAGGTAGGTCTTCTGGGGGTACTTCATCTCGTTTGCGATGTGCTTTGATCTTCTCAATGCGGAAACAGTCTGATCCTTTCGCAGCCACTCCTGTGGCGATAGCTGTCCACAGGTCACGATGCTGGCGAGGTTTAATAGTTGTGCCATTCAGAATAGCAGTGAAATTTCTGACGCAATATCCGCTGTCGGTAAGGTAGAGCTGCTTGGACCAAGCCCAAGATACAAAGTGTCGAAGGGCACTGACCTCAGCCCTCTGAGCTCCTTGTGAGACGCTCCTCAGCGGGACAGAAACGTTGCAGGGGTGGTTCTCTCCATAGTAGAGACCGTAGCCAGATCTTCGTAGGCGTAAGTCTGACGCCTGTCCAGGACAGGCGCCATCCCCTGCCACTACTAAGTATCCTTCCTTTTCGCGTGTGGTGCTGTGTTCGTCCTGGCCTGGCTCGTAATTCCCATCAGCGTGGTGAGGGGGAGGTGGGAGATCAGGTTCATCAGGCAGCAGCTCAGATGCGAAATTGTCATATACTGGCCTGTCTGGGCAGAGGCCACATTGTCGGTAGCATACAGGTAGGGCAAGAATCTCATCCTTCATGTAGTGGTCGAGCAACGGTTGGCGCTGCTGGGTCCACTGGGGGCAATGCAGGAGGATATGATCCATATCTTCGTCAGGGTCTCCACAAAATGGGCAAAATCGATGATCTCGTTGGCCTGTGATGTGGTGAAGCCTGTGGCCTGTGACAGTTGCTCCCTGGAGCAGGGCGCGCAGAAAGGGTAATTGCTCTCGTGTCAGCTTCGGCACGGTGACATCCACCGCATCCAGTAGGAGTGGGGGCTGAGGCTTGACACTGTCTGGGTTATCTTCTTCGTCATCATCTGGCCGTAGACTGCGTTCAGCACGCCTGAGAATGGCCGTTGTGATATGATAATTTATGCCGAGCTTGGAGCCGAGCATGTCTTTTCTCTCCAGCAACTGAGGATCGGTCGACCACACCCAGCGGCGCAAGTCTTCTCGAAGTACATGCTGCCACCAGCCCTCAGGATGCTTTGCCAAGTAGACCAGCTGACCATTGGCACGCTTGAAATAATCAAACTCAGGC